AAATGATGCCGAAATACATAAATTACTGCCTGGTGTACAGATGATGCACTCATGTTCGACTTTGAGAGTCATTTGCAGTCTTGCAACTGAGCTCTGGTCGTACGTCTTCACATATACAGATAGCCGAGAATAACGAACATGCTGCTTTAGAATCATCCAAGTTTTGATTTCAAATCCAGTCACCAGCTGGGTTGCTTTATGCCGTCGATAACGGTCTCTTTGTACCGACTGTAGATAGCTAATTTTTCAAGGCAGAAAACTTGCCTGTATTTTTAATCTTTTCGTTGCGTTATCTTCAATCAATCCTTAAAATCTATGATGATGCTGTTTGGCGGATTCTGAACCCGTGTTCCAGAAAAAAGAAGGCATCATCAGTCAACAGGATGAACATTTCACTCATCACCTTGTACAATGGCAATGTACAGCACTATCATGACCAGAAGCATGGTCAACCTAACTTGAACCCAATAGAAAGTTTTGTACTCACTTGGAAGGAGGTTCGTGACCGTAAAGTTATCACCAGGAGCACCATTTGTGCACAGTTTTTTCTCATGAAGCTGATGACGTACGTTTATATGCCATCGACTGTATGCTATATTTTAATTTTGACAAAGCGTGCAACCCGTTTCCTTTCCCTTAAAGTGGTTCTTATTATTCTTATCTCGGAATAATGAAAGTCGAGTGATCTGACAAGGGCTTGAACTAGCGAGCTGACCAGTGACCGATGTTCTACCAGCTGAGCGACCCCCCTCGCTGACGAAGCTGATCATTTTGCCTCGGGGATTCTTACACAGAGGAACCTCTCTTGGATAAGAAGAGACTAACACAGCGAATTCTTTGCGCAAACAACAAATGGTTAGATGGCCAGGGTATGTTGAGCATATGGCACTGTTGTTATTCGAAATTTAATGTATGGACTTGTCAGGTTCTGCAGAAAACCGAATCCATTGTCCCCCGAAGCTGCTGGCTAACTAACCGAAAAAAATATGGGGCTTTAAAATGGGATGAACGCACGAATATTAATATTTAATAATTATGAATTCCTAAACTATTTAAGGATAAGGCGCTGAGATGGTTCATCGTTCAAGCAGAAACCTCGGCCATAGGTTTGGTGAACGTAGTGTCGTTCGTCATTGTAGGAACCATTGAGGCTTAATTTCCTCTATCGATACTGCTGCTACACTTCACGCTGAAGAGTTACGCTGAAAGGCACAGACTTAATGTGAAAGATACTCAATGATGTTTCAGTGCAGCGATAAACAGAGCATTCATCTCGGCTTGATGTAAATATTTATGCACAATGTCGAACAATAACCAGTACACTTAACATATTGTCCCATTAAATTTCCAAACTAGTAATTAGCATTTTGCATGTGACGTTCTGCCCGTTTTACTCTGCAGTGCATTAGAAAACAAGCGATCATAAAGGAGGTATCGAATATCTGAACATGCAGGAAACCGCGCTACAGAGCTGAATTAAGCATATACTTTATGAGTTATGAAATTTGATTCAATTTACAAGTTTCAGTCACACGAATCCCTCCATCTTGAAGGAAGAGCCAATATTCATGGTATGAGAATTCGAGGAATGTGGCATGGGAACTGTTGCTTGTTAGATGTATAGGTGTTGCGAAAATTTTCTCCTGAACGACGTGAATGTTCGTATCTTGCTGTTTTAATTCCCTGTAATTGGTAATCGTTTAATGATAGAACAGTGTTACATTACAATTACTGTGCATGTAATAAAAGAGCGAAATGTTTATGCAACATTACTGTATATGGGGTCGAGGGATAGACAACTGGCATCCGAGTTGCGGCACAGCTGTGCATTCTTTTAGCCGGAACCATAGGGATACTTGTTAGACGATCCGGAATGGTGTGGTGGCTTGTAATTTTGTGGATAGCGATTCATTGGTGGATATAATGGACCATAGTAATTCGGGCCGTAGTTGCTTTTATATGGCGATCCATAGTATCCTTGCCTTCCACAATTAATGCCAGGACAACCCGGCCCATAATTCATACCAATCGGCTGTGTAGCGATTACCAATCGCTTTTCTCGAGCTTTATAATCTCCTGAATTAGATTTATAAGTTGACTATCTCATAATGATGAAGCAAAAGAAAATTAAGGCAGTTTATAGCATACTAATAATAAAAAATTGTGATTTTGGGTTGTTCGTGGATGACCGTTGAAAGTCAGTAGATTAACATTTATATAGACTATTCTATATAGTTTAATATGCTTGTGTTAAAAAAGAATTCACTTATATATTAATATTCCCTCGAAAGTTCAGTTGCATACGAATTCTGAACGGTCTGTTTTTCCCTGCGATAATGGAAGGAGACCCAGTAACGGGTATGAAATTCGCTGCAACTTAATTTTTATTTCTGATTGGCGGCGAAACTGTCCTGACGTCTATTCACTACTGCTACGTTGGGGCCAGAAAGGTGTGCGGGAGCTCTTTCCGGTATATTGAGGAGGTGATGCTGCGCACCACTCGCCAGTTATATCTTTCCGTGAGCAAAACCTCAAAAATGTTCCACTTCTGAATCCGTTGGGATGGACTAAGGGTTGGGAGACTTTGGCGATGGTTCATGATGGTGGGCACCATGATTGAACTGCCAAACGATTACTCGCCAAAAAAAATGCTAGAGAAAGGCACCTATGTCGCCGTAAACCACAGGGTGTCATTTGAAAAGAGACCTGGAACATCATCAAGATCTTCGTAGCAGCTCTAATACACGAACGTTATCGACATCGCATTTATCGACGCTTATATCTCAGAAACGGACAAGGTCAAGGTAGACGTCACTGGAATATGTGAGACCCATGGATCTAACGAATATTTTGCATAATGGAACAAGGGTGACCAAATGTTCATGGGAAGGTCTTCGAAAACAGAGCTCGACCCGGTGGTGTTGGGTTCATAATAATAAAGACAGGGTATAATTTGTAGTGAGGCGTGATATAATGTCGCCTGGTATGGCACTTATGCTTCTATGGAT